GAGAGAGAGAGAGAGAGAGAGAGAGAGAGAGAGAGAGAGAGAGAGAGACTCATCCACTCCACCCTGCTGAGTGGCCGACTGGAAGTTATCCACCTTTTCCCACCTGGCAGGGAGAAGAGGTCTGTCAAAAACCTCTAACCAAGCTTTGCTTAAAGGTTCAATCCCCCAAAAGTCCTGTGCTGTCCTGCAGCTGCTGTAATTGCCCACATTTTGGGTGGGGGTCCGGGGGGCTGAGAGGCATTCATTGGTGGGCTCGATAGATAGGCCTTCATCACATCTAACAACAAAAATCCTCCTTTGTTGAATAGTTTTTGCGTTATAAGCATTTTTGTAAGTCCAGACACCCCATTTTCAGATGGAGCCCCTTCCTCAAATATGAGGTTTATAAAACAGTTGGCTGGCACAGTGTAGGTCAGACACATCTACATTCCTACCAAATGTCACACTGATTGGTGCAGCTGTTTCTGTGCCATGATAGACCCAAAATCTCAGTGCTCATCAACCATTACAGAAGCTAAAGATGCATCAGATAAATTGGTAGTTTTGTTTTTTGTTTCTTTCTGCACAGTATTTGCTTGTCATGTCCTTTATGTATACTTACAGAATTTGTGACTTGAGAGCTTTAGTAAAACACCAGAACAAGTTCTCACGTCAGACGTTTCCTACTTTATGTTCACTCCAAGGCTCATTTAAAAGTCCAGTCTGTGGGATGTAGTGAAGTCTTGGACCCAAATTGAAGCTAATTTAGTATTCCTCATTACTTCCAAACGTTGGTGTCTGGGAACATTTGTCCCCCATCTCTGGAGTCAGTTTTAATTACCATGGAAGAGGCAACCAAAGCATTTGATGGATAAAGCTGCTAATCTAAAGGTGAAAACACATTGATTTTTAATTTTCATATTATATGAAAAAAGTAGTTTTGGATAATAATGTATTTCTGCAAATATTTTTTTCTCAAAGCTCAGTAATTCTCAGTCACATTCAACAATTTCAAGTAGCTAATTAGCTTTAAAATACAAAGTAGAGCTGGGAGGGTTAGGAATGTCATGTCCTTCATGACTAAAGTTTGTTGTGCCGATACATACTGTAGATGTAGAGTTCACTACTCACAAACTGGTGGTATAGATCCAGAGTCATTAGCATTTTTTTTCTTCTGGGCATCATGAATATGTACAGTACATTTTATGGGAATCCAATTTACTATAAATCTCATGCTCTGCTAGAAAGTGTCGTTTTGCTTGGTAATCCATTCATTATGTGGTGATCATTATATGGTAAAATGGACTGACAAACCTCCTAAAAATCACACCATCCTTTAAAATGAGGCTGCTGGCTTGATTAAATAGCAACTTTAATGAGGAGTCGGATTTCATCTCTCCTTCATCTAGTGTTTTGTAATGCATTAGGTTATCTTTAAAGGTCATCTATTGAATCTAGTTGTTTTTTTTTTCACTTTACTGATCTATTTCAGTTTTTCTACTCACCCAGAGAAGTGTCAGACACCTCTGGTTTTGTTATTATTTGGTAGAACTCAGGGCTTTTCACTACCCTGAACAGGTCAGTGACCAGAAAGTTGGACCAAACTCTCAGTGGAAATGGCCAAAAGTTCACATATATTTATCACATACAGTGTCTTGCAGAAGTATTCGGCCCCTTTGAACTTTTCAAACTTTTGCCACATTTCAGGCTTCAAACATAAAAATATATATTTTTTTTTTTTGTGAAGAATCAACAACAAGTGGGACACAGTCGTGAAG